TGCCTCACTAATTGATTTTAGCACTGTAGAAGAGGTGCTGAAATCAGTAAGCAAGAAATTTCCAGCAGTGGGTGGAAAAGGGATAAATTTGAGCCTCACCATATGCTTTGAGAAATTAAGTCATTACAACATAAAGCCCCCAAAAGAAGATGGAACTTGTTGCTTTTTCAATGATTATTTTTAAAACACAGACTCATTATGAATGCTTGCAAGCTGCTTAAAATACACTTGCTAATTCTAAAATTCCAAAGCCTCAGCTTCACAGTTTTTATTTTTGTAGACACAACTCCCATCCTGACTGCCTGTTATGTGCAATATACCCTGACACCTAATGTGCAGTGAAAAATGTAGTAACAAGGAAAATAGCTTAGTGATAGAAGGTGTATGGTGCCAGCTCTTTAATTCACTTCTGACAGTGTCTATATCCTTTAGAACAAAACTCTGGCTGTGGAGTCAGGAGGACTGTGATACTTATCCATTGTAAAACACCAACTATACCTAACTGTAGAGCAAGTTTATTTTGTACATCTGTACATTGATTTTCTTGGGTAGCACAAAGTTAAGTGATCTCCACCAGCTACTGAGAAATAAAATGACTAGTTCATCATTGGCAACTGGATCTATCTTTTGCAGGCTGAGGTAAGGACTTCTGGCCCTGCAGGTTAATTGAGATATTGCCTTGATGCGGGAAGTTCTGAGCAAGGGTCAGTAGGCATGCATTCTAGAGCCACCCACACTGCTTCACCTAGTCTTTCTCTGACACCAATGATATGAATGTAACAGAAGTAGAATAAAATCTGTGATCTATGGTACCAAAATAGCATCTTCCACTGACTCCCTCAAGGCTTAATTTGCCTTTGTAGGTAGCAAACCTGCCACCTTGGTCTTATTAACACCATGTTCTAAAATAGCAGTGGTAACTACTAGCCTGACTACTTAATGTTCTGAAGCTGGCTATCTTTTCTAATAAAGAGTACCCCTCCACACACACACTCTTTCATAGACAGTAGACCCTGGATATGCTTCTAGCCTGTTTTTCAATTCTTGTCAACACACATTTTTTTGCTTTTGTTCAAGGGATCTGGGTATAGATAGTTGGGCAAGGAGTGGTGCGTTGGATCCACCTAGAATACCTCCAAATCATTCTCTGGTAGCCATTGGTCTCAGGGAAGGGTTGGTATGGTTGAGTATGTTCAAGGACTAATTTAGGTAGGGACCCCTTGGCCCACCAGAAGGCTTCGGGGTCTGTGCTCTTCTTTTTGTGTTTACTTTTCTATTTTCCCAGCACCTTGTCTATCCCAGGATCTGGAGGAGGGAGAAGAAGGAATCCCTCTGTGAATTCCTGCATTGGGTGGGAGAGTCTAGAGGTGATACCCTCTGTGACCACCTAGAGCAAGGTATCTCTAAACCCAGATGGAGTGCTGGCAGGAATATGGTATCCAACTACTTGGCTATCAGCTTCCTGCAATTCTCCCTCCAGATTATTTTCCCAATTAACCTAAACCCTCATGAGTTTTTATTTCCTTTTCTGTACAATGACTGGTCTAAACTAGATGACTTCTGAAGTCCATTCCATCTATAATTCTTTAATCCTATGACCAAGTAATCCTACTGGATTTTCTCTTTCCTTGGTTTCTGTAACCAAATACTTTGTTGTTTCTCATTTCTATATGTTCCTGCCTTCTCCCTCACTACCCCTTCACCTTCCTCCTGATCCCTTAACAAGAGTAGTCTGTTATTGGTGTTATTCTCCCTTCTGTGCTCCCTTCCCCAGTGGTAAACTCATTCAGTTTTACCACAACAACTGATGTGTCTATGCAAATGGTTTTCTAATCAGCATTCCCAGAATACAGAATTTCAAAGATAGGAGAGAGCTCAGAGATCACATAATTCATTGTTTGAACAGGATCTCTATGGCATCTCCAACAAGTGGTCATTTACCCTTTATTTGAAGATTTCTAGTGAGAGAAAACTTTATGAACTGTGAGAAGCATTTTCTGTCCTGACTTCTGTTCTGAGTTTCAAACTGAAATCTACTGTTATTGCCTATGGAATGCCAGTTGTTTGCCCTGAAAACATACTGAATAGATTCAATATTCAAGGACCCAAGGTGAGATCTTCAGAGGTTAAAAGAGCTTTAAAGTAGATGAAAAGAATAGTATAAGTGATTTCCAAAAGACAATGACTTGATTGCTCAAAACCAGGGATTCTCAAACTCATAGAACTTCAGAATTGGAAAGTGCCTCAAAAGTCATCTGGTTCAACCCATATGGACTAAGCAAGAATTGTCTAGCAATATCTTTGGCAGGTAGTCACTTTGCAACCACTTAAAGACCACCTATGAAGGCAGTCCATTAGAATTATGAAACCACCCAACATAAAGAAATCCTTCCTTTTATTCAGCCCATATCTACCTCTTTGTAATTTGTACCCACTATTCTTAGCCAAGCTTAAGATTCTAGTCTCAGCTGGGCATTTACCACCCTTGGGGATTCCATTTACCCCTTTCCTCATTTTCTCCATTTTTCTCATTTAAGGTTTGCATTAGATGATCCACCCTAATTCTAAAACTTTTTATCTAAATATTAACAGTCTATATAGCTTTCATGATCTTCATGGAAAAAAAAACAATTAATTTTCAAAGATATAGATAGAGATTGCATGAGTTGACTGGCAGCTTGAGCTGGCTATAAATCTGTGCTACTTTGTGGTCTTCAGCAAACCAAAACTGACAATATGGAACAGTTTGTCCTACAAGAGAAAAGTAAGTAAGTCTGAAACTAACTTTGAGGCTTAATGTGAACAACCAGAAATTGGGGCTATCTCTTTACTATGGGAATCATCAGCATTTAGGGATCTTTGTGGGGCAGGGTGATTTGACAACAGAATGGATAGAATGAAAAGCCTCCATGCACTAAAAGTAATGAGGGACTTGAAAAGTATAAGTATTGTTTCTGTTTCTATTATTTGCTCCTACTACAAATTGCTTAATATGTGTGATCCTGTTGAAAATTGAGCTGTTGTAGGTGTCCAGAAAAGGAATGAAGTCATCAGCCATGCCTGGTAGCCTCGCTCTGCCTCCAAATAATAAAGGTGTTTATGGACAGGTGGCATCATCTAACAACTGGGGACTTGACATCCTCCTGAACTGGGAAATAATGCCAACCTACTGCATTTAATGTTTAAATGTCTTTGCTTAGCATCCAGACAACTCAGAAACCTGTTGTCATCAGTAGGAGTTACTGTGTGTTTCTCCATTCACCTGCCAAGCAATCATATTTATACATTTATGTCTTTGTTTTATTTATCTTGTTTTCTTAGCAAACTTTAGTTACACCTTAGCAAGCCTATAAGAAATTAGTGTTTTTTTCTGGGACACAATTGATTTGGAAGCAAAAGACCAGGGTTCAAGTTTCAGCTCAGCCTGCTATTGGCTATGCAACTTTGAGTAAATCGCTTCACTTTTCTGAGTCTCAGATTCCTCACCTGTAACATTAGAGGGTTATATTATACAGACTAAAGCCAATTCTAGTTTTAATATACCATAATTTCAACTACAGTAGTCTCCTAACTTGTCTTCTTGTTTCCATCCCCTACTCTACTTCAATGTGCGTGAGGTAGTGTTGACAATAGTTGTTAATTGATTATCATGGATTCATGCTATGAACAACACTTTAATTAAATTAAGTTCCCTGCAATTTCTGAATATATCTTTCTCCACCTTATCCACCTTTGGTTTAATTTACCATCCATCTCTCCATAAACAGAAAGTAGATCAATCTGTCATGAATTAAATTACTGATTGTGGAAAAAATAGAAACTTAAACTTGTTTCTAAGTCCTGTACATTTATTTTTTTTCTGAACATGATAAAGGGAAGTATTAACTAGTCAGTAACATTCCACAATGCCTTATCATGTGCCAGGAACTTTACTGAATACTGCTTATACAAAGAAAGTAAAAAAAAAAAAAAAGAAAGAAACCATGGTCCCTGCCTTCAAGGAGATATATAGTGGAATGAGTAGCCTTCAAGCCCAGTTTAGTTTCTTGCATATATAATTCAGCTCATAAGAGTGGGGAAAAGAACCACATTGCCTGGAAGATATAAGTAACAAAATCTAGCCCTGCCTCTCCCACTAACTAGATTTGTCACCTTGGGAAAATTTTTCTGGATCTTAGTTTCCTGTTCTTTAAAAAAAAAAAGGGGTTGAATTAAATGATCTTTAACATTTCTTTCAACTCTAAGAGTTTATGATTTGGAATATCATGAAGAGCAGGAGAAATCATGCAGAACTGTGAGATAAGAACAAATTCCTACTATTTCTTCTTCTTCTTTTTTTTTTATAGAAAGGAACAGATTTTACAAACTTTACTTTGCTTCCTGGAGAGATTCCAAAAGAGATCACTAAAGAGATGGTGACTAAGCATCCATAAAAGGAAGTGACTAAGCCAGTAAGTCTCCATCAGTGACAGGTCTTGAAGGACTAAACTTGTTTCCTTTTTAGAGCAGGGTTTCTAAGCTAATGGATCAAAAAATTATTGATATAATTTGCCAAAATTTTTAATAAAGTATTGGATAAAGAATCTCATACCATTCTTATTGAAAAAATGCAAACATTTGGCATAGTAATATAATTAGATGGCTTCAGAATTCCTTCAGTGTCCAGAAATGAAGAACAGTCAGTCATCAGTGGTTCATTGTTAAGTTGGCCAGATATCTCCATTGGAGTACTTCAGAGGACCATCTTTGGTCATGGGAACTTGACTTTTTTAATCAGCGCAATGGATAGAGACATACATGGCATGCTTATCAGTCTACCAGTGTAGCATAAGCAAGCAGAGGAACATTACCTCATCTTTCCTGGAATCCCTCTTAATGAAGCCAATGCATGATCACATTAGTTTGGCTGCCATATCACATTGCTGACCTATAGTCCAGAGTTTTTTTTTTTTTATGGTGGAGAGAATGTTCAATGAAGAATTTAAAGAGGTGGAGGAAGAAAGTGAAACTACTCCTTGTATTAGACTAGTTACCTTTCGTGGGAGCTTATAATTACCTTCAGAAAATGACTCAGATCCTGTGTTGGGGAATAGTTGTTCATAATGTTGGTATCCTCAGAAGACCTTTTGTGTACATGTTAATGTACATTTTCCCCAGGATTCTGACACTTGACAAGGCACACATGACACATATCTGAAACTTGGCTCCATTAACTTTGTGAGTATTTTGTGTTCTTAGTCACAGTAGTTTCACAAACAGTGAATAGACTAAATTGGGTGGAGGAAGGGGTTCATGTATAGCAGTAATTGGAAGTAAAATAGAAAATGCAGGTTGAGGCATGATTAAAGAAGGCTTTAAATATCAGGGACTGTGCTAGATGAAATGACTTTGTGAGATAATTCTATAAAATGCTAAAAAAATAGGAAGATTTGAGGATGGTAAAATATTAGAAAAAAGAATGATTAATTACTATTATAAAAAGAAGCAGAAATATATGAATGATATTTGAGTGAATACAAAGTTTCTTTTTTTCCCCCATAGTAAGTGACCTAGGAGCTAGGGATAATTGATTTCACTCTGTGAAGCCAAACTAAAATAAGATTTTTAAGAGGAAATCCCAATGCAATTTCTCTGCTGAAAGTGAAGACTTAGAATCCTTTGAAAGAAGCATCAATCAACTTCCATACATCCAGGTCACAGTACTGAACTTTAACTGTCATTTCACAGCATAGTTTCATTACCATTACTCTGGCCATGCCTTCATAATGATAAAACTTCTGTTAAGTCAATCATTTCAGTCAAAAAAAAATTTTTTTTAGCTGATCCAGTTAGGTGGAAGGTGGGCTGTGGAGGATCAGTCATGTATGTTGTTCAGGGCAGTGTAGACAAAGTCCCTGGATGACTTTTCAACTAAGTATTTGGTCATTCCAGAGAAAGCCCAAGTGTATCCATGGCATTAGGTTAGATTTATTAATATGACAAGACAAATGAGGCAAATCGGCATGGATAGATGAGTGATTTGTCCACATTTCCTTTATTTCTTTTAAAGCATTTTACCCTGAACTATGTCCCTATTGCTGTTTAATAAGTTGGGTTCTTTCAAATAGACACAAAAGGGCCTTGGTTGCCTAGCAACTGGGTTAGTACACATTCAGATATCGTGTGTGTAATGACTTATTATGCAGTATATTGTACCTGCATTTTATGTTGATTTTCTTCCTTCCTCTCTTCCCCTTCCTTTTCTTTGTTGACTAAATGAATCTATATTGCCTGTTATTATTATTATTATTATTATTATTATTATTATTATTATTATTATTGCTAAGACTGCACCATTAGCACTTGTGGGACTATATAATTTCTCACCTGGGTTATGATATATTTCTGCTTTCTTCTCAACTGAAATATATGTCCATTTTAGCACTTACCAATATAAATGAAAAAACTAAGCGAAGACCTGAAAGGAGCTGTAAATACATTTACAAACCCGACATTTTGTAGCATGTTTTCTTCCTAGAAAAGGAGCAACATTCACTTCCTCAGTTCTTGCCACCACCAGCACTGATTCTGACCCTTGACATGTAAATACACCCCCCTATCATTGCCTTCAAATGGGAGCTGTACTGATCAAACAGAGAAGAAACCTGTTTTGCTCCAGCCTTATTCTCTTGCCACCTACTTGAGATCAATTCTATAGCTTCATCATGTTTTGCTAATGGAATAGATGGTCCAAATTTGTGATGATACTTGCTTAAGGAATTTCCAAGGAAGAAACTTTTTCTAACAATGCAGATCACCAACTTTTCCAAAACTTAATTTCATAGGGTTTTCTTAGACTTTGAAAGGTGAAGTATCCATGCAGCCCATTTTTGATGGAGGAAGGACTTAAATATCTTTTCTTCCTGGTTTCAAGATCAGGTCTCTACTCCACTACACCAGACTGTCTCTAATATTATAAATGCATTAAATCAGTAAATACTGTGTCAAGTAATTTCCCCTCATTTTGTACATATGCATGCTAACATATAATTGCTATCTGTTTTGCACTGCCCTCTTTTTATATTAATTGAAAGCATTTTGATCATACTTTTATGGAAATTTCAAAAATAAGAGTGATAATGTGTCAGGAAAATCACAATTATCACCTGGATCAATAACTGAGTTTATATGTAGAAAGCAAAGAATTTAAAACAATCAATATTTAATATTTAATGCCTTCCCTCTGTGGATTACCTCAAATTTATTCTGTATATGTCTTGTTTGTACATAGTTGTTTATATAATTGTCTCCTCCCATTAAAATGTAAGCTTTTTGAAGCCAAGGACCCTCTTTTACCTTTCATTGTATCCCCAGAGTTTAGCAGTATGCCTGACACATAGCAGGTACTTAATGTTTGCTGAATGACCGTATCAATCTATATGTTTAGTTCAATAATTCAATTCATCAGAAATATGTATGCTAGATGATAGAATTAAGTGGACTTGAAACTAATTGAGTAGTGGATACCACAGAATAATCATTAACTATCAGCTTAGAATGAAGTCCACAGTGCATTTCACCAGGGATCCACACTTGACACTCATTATCTAATGATTTGAATGGAGAAATGAATGCCACAATTCTCACATTTGTAAATGACTCAAATCTGAGAGACATATCTAACATCTTGTATGGCAAGTTAGAATTTTATAAGATCTTGGCAGACTGAATCATTAATTCAAATCTACTAAGATAAAATCTAACAGGGACTACATGTACTATCTTTCACCTGGGTTTAGAAAAGCAACCTCACAAGCATAAAATGGGGAAGGCATGCCTGAACAGCCATCCAAGTGGAAACTTTGGTGACTTACAAGCTCAATATGAGTTAACAGCATGATCCCATAACCAAGAAAACCAAGGCAATTTTAGACTGTATTATAAGAAGTGTAGCATTCAGAACTAATGCAGGTAATTTCCTCCTCTTACCTCTGGTCAGGCCTCTTCTGGAGTTCTGGGTATCTCATTTTAGGAAGAACACAAAATCTGGCAAGTGCAAAGAAGAAGGCAACCAGGTTGGTGAAGAACCTTCAATTCATATCACACAAGGATCCGTTGAGTGAACTAGAAATGTTTAACCTAAGGAAGAGAAGACAGGGATCATGCTAGCTGTTTTCAAAATCAGAATGCTTATCATGATGGATTAGACTATTCCTGCTTATTTCTAGAAGGTAGGAATAGAATCACTAGGTAGAGGTGGCAAAGAACCATAGTTAGATTTATTATAAAGGGGAAAGAAAACAACTTTCTAACAGTTAGAGCTTTACTAAAACTTAGAGCTTTCCAAAGGTGGGAATCTATTGTTGGGGGTATTGGGGAGGGGAGGGAATATAGTAGGCTCCTCCTTATTGGAGGCCATTAAGCAAAAACTAGATATCTACTTGGGTATGCTGTATGGAGGATTCTTGTTTATGTAGAGGTTGCATGACTGCTGAAACTCCAAGATTCTGTGTATCTCTGTTTATAAATGATTGCTAGAGTAAAGTCTTATGTTAAATTTTGGAGTACAATGATAGGAATGCAATGATGCTGGGGAGGTGAGGAAGGTATAGAATTCACAACTACATATGATAATGGTGAACTTGGAATAAGGAAGCGCTTATTTCAAATTTTAATGGAAACACTTATTTACTCTGCAATCCTGAACACGTTGCTTAAGTCCTTTAGGTCTTTTTTTTAAATTAAATTAACAAATTTAATAAATCTATTTTACTTTATTTTCAATTCAGGGAGCAAAACAAGCATTTCCATAACACAGTAAAAAAGATAATTGCTCATGAAACCACAAATCTACTATGTACAACTTGCTATTCCCTCCAAATATACACCACTTATCATGTAAATTTATTTTTTTCCTTTTTTTCCCTACCCTCTCCCCACCCTAGAGATGGCTGCCATTACACACATATATACACACACATATGTGTGTGTATGTACATATATGTATATATCTATATATGTATATGTGTACACACACACACACACACACACACACACACACACACACATATATATATATATATGTAAAATCAGTCTTGATTTCCTTATCTGAGTAGTTGGGAAAATTGCCATAGAAAAGATAGAACTGGAAGGAAGAGATATATTTCAGCAGTAAGAGGAGGAAAATTGGTGTGTTTTAGGCATAGGGAGATGGCCTAATGCCAGTATCAGGCCTGGAGGTGTCAAGAACAAAAAAGAGGTGGTTGGTACAATACCCTAGTTTTCTGGAACATAGAGTATATAAAAGTAACAAAATGAGATAAAGGAGAAAGCTTTGTTGAAGCCCAGTTGTGGAGGGTGTTGAATGTTAGGTAAAAGAATCTAAATTAGATACAGATCGAGGGAAGGAACTTAGACTCTTTCTCTCCATTTGTATGAATATTAATGCATCATCCCCTCTATTTCAAGAGGGACAAGAGAACTATTTATTTTGTCCATAAAAGGGAGAAAGGGGCCTCTTCACAAGTTACCTTTAGATGAGAGTAGCAGTAGGAAGGACAGCCTCAATAATTTCAGATGTTTTGTGCTTTCCTATTCAGAAAGGCAACCTTAAGACACTCAATGAGCTAGGGTTGTGAGCAGTAGTTTCATTTTCTGAATGACATGATACAAATTTGGCTATGGCCCTATTTGGAAAAAAACAGAACTACAATGTTTATTGCCCACACAAGACTGGCATATTTTTAGTTCAAAGACACCCTCCCTGAGGAATCAGGAACCAGCCTCTCCTTGTGACACATTATGTACTGATTATGAAGCTATTCTGATGTGAAGTGCAGAAGGCAACTGGTATGCTAAAGATTTGTTATGAGAATGATTTACTTGGGGGAAAAGTAAGTTCTTCATGCCTCAGGAGTTTGCTGAAGTAATTAAGTTTGCCTGTGGGATAAACAAAGGTATTTAGGATAGTTAGCATTGATTTATAGATCTTTCCTGTCCTTGTCTTCATACAGAGTGATAGGTTTCTCTCCACTAGAGAAGAAAGAAACAAAATAAACCAAATGTCTATGACTGACCTTGAAATCCATGTCAGGTGCTTTTAGGTAATTAGCTAGAAGCCAGATGGGATGACTTTCTCTGTGCAAAGGCTGATGTAGACTTGAGATCTAGGTACATGGATAAGAGGAGATGAAGAACATTTTTCCAGAATTAAATACTTTCCTAATCTGTATTTGATTTTTTATAGTTAAGGTTAAATGTAAATATGCCTACGAGCCTATGCACACACAGAAATATTGGAAAGCAAAATCAGTTGAGATGAGCACCTATCAGACTTACTAAATATCCCAAGATGGTCTGGGTTTAGATAATTTGGTGTGTTTCTACATTTTCTTTGCTGTTTAATGTATAGGGTGGCAAGAAGGGCACAGTGGATAAGGTGGTGGGCTGGAGTCAGAAAGACTCATCTTCCTGAACTCAAATCTTGCCTCTGACAGTTACTATCTGTGTGACCCTGGGCAAGTCACTTCAGCCTGTTTACCTCAGTTTCCTTATCTGTAAAAATTAGCTGGAGAAGGAAGTGGCAAACCTCTTGATTATCTTTGCTAAGAAAATCCCAAACAGGGTGATGAAGAGTTGGATGCAACTGAAACAGTTGAACATAATAATAAGATTAGATGTACACCCCTTTAGTTATCTCTCCCAGAGCGTTGTAAGCACTTCTTACTTGGATTTCCCGCCTCCAGTCTCCCTCCTTTTTAATCCAGGCTGCACACTGCATTGTCATGCAATCTAGATCTGAAAGGCCTGTGGTCACTTTAGGGGTCACTCAGCTTTCTCATTTTACGGAGAAGGAAAACTGAAGGCAAAAGAGGTACAGTGATTTGTGCAAGGTCACATAGATTGCAAGTAGCAGACTCAGAATTTGAATGCAAGCCCTCTGATTTAAAATCCAGTGCCCTTTCCACTGTCTTACTTTCTCTTCCTGAAATAACACTTCGATCATGCCACTTGAAAATGTGAGAATTTTCCCCAATGCCTAGATTGGTGAGGTCAAACTCACTGTAGCAGCAATCCCCTTGCAAAAATCTCAATTGTCACCAGAAATATTAAAATGCAATTGGGAAATCTTTCACAAAATAAAAAGATAATACAACATAAAGAATGTTAATTTGTGGCTTTCTAAATCAATATGCAGACCATAGATATCCTTTTCTATTTGAATTTGATACCACTAGCCTGGAGGACATAGTGACAGCTCCTTGGCCCTTCAAAGTATCTTGCAGTCTACCTCCAATTGATCTTTCCTGTCTTATGTACATATGCTTTTCCCCCCCAGACAAGTGACTCCTCCCAGGATGGTATTCTCAACATCCTCCTAGTCCAGACACAGTGACATAGTAGATAGAGAGCTGAGGGCAGCATCAAGACAGAACTGAGTCTCCTTCAACATTCTGATTTCATCCTATAACAATTTTGTGACATAGATACTTAAGGTTTTTATTATCTCCAAATTTGTATTTACAGATGAGGAAAGTGAGACTCAAGGAGAATGAATTGTCCATCATCATAGAGCTGGTGAAGAGAGTGGAGCCTCTTGGGTTGTATACCTGGAAAAAAAAAATCTGTAATGTTTCATTCAAGAGATGGTTATTGCATATCTAGAAAAAGGAACAGTGATTTAAAAAAAAAAAGCCCTCATGGATTTATGCAGAATAGATCCAGTCATACCTTCTGACACTGGCCCCATCACCTCTTGGATCAGTCTTAACCACCAGTCTGCTTACCTAAAGTATGACAGCATTCAGAAACAGATCTTTACCTCAGGACTCAGCCCAGGACCAAGGACTAATATGTTACTTCTTCCTTCTAGTTCATCATCTACAGGAAAGGTCACTGATGTCAGGGCCAATTTCTCTTATTCCTTAATATTTGAAAGAGAACTGATTCCCTTTGCTGCCCTTCACAAGATACTTGAGAGTGGGAGTACCACTAGCCAAGTGACAGAGTAAATAAAATTCTTGGCCTGGAGTCAAGAAGATCTGAGTTGAAATTCAGCCTCAGAACACTATCTGTGTGACTCTGGGCAAATCACTTATCCTCTGTCTCAGTTTCCTCAACAGTGAAATAGAATGGTTGGAAAGATCAAATGAGATAATATCTGTAAAGTACTTAGAACACTGCCTGGCCCATAGCAGGTGATAAATAAATGTTTGTTCCATTCTCCCTTTCCTTCTCTTCACATACTAAAAAGTACTATATTCTCATTCTATGGCTATCAAACTCCTACCTCTTACTGTCCCAGTCACACTACTGCTAAATAATGAGCTAAATTAAAAACATCCCTTCCCCTGCCACCAATTCCCATATTCTCGTCTTCATCCATCTCAGCTCTATCCCTCTCACATACTAACTTGGCAATTCTTACCCCTTCCTTTATGTTCTCTGTATCATTACTAAGAAGGGACACAGAGCATCACTCACAGGGACCTGACTCCATCTAAAAGACATTTTATCCCTAACCATTCTTCTCATGTACTTTCTCACACTCCCAGACACACTAGCCCTAGAGAAGTAGACATGCTCATTTGTTCCCAAAGCCACTGCCAGATGCTCTAAACACCACCACTCCACATCTTCTCCTCTGTCAGATCCTTCTGTTAGCTGTCTATAGGACCCCAGATCATTTTTACTTTTTACTCAAAGGATTTAGTATTTGATTCATAGTTTTCTTTGCATCTCAATGCCTGCAATAATCCTATGAGATTTCAACATACATATTCATTTTCCCTCAAAAACCCTGGCTTCCAAATTCATCTATGCATTTTACTCCTATGATCTTTTCTTTCATTCCACTTCTTCCCCACAAAGGAATATTAATATCTTTGACCTCATCCTCACCTACAAGTGTTCTATTTCCTTGATCAAGATTTCCTAAATGCCTCCATCTGACCGTTGCCTCCTATCATTATATTTCTTTCTATCCTTATTGTTAAGCCAAGTCTTTACCCTGATTTTTTGACTTTCTGACCATCTGTCTTTTGGTGCTCTGACAATCAATCATCCCTACTTTAGTGTCTCTTTTCTTCCCTTCCCAATTTTTACCTGTGGGTCATCAGTTCAGTTTAACATTGTCCTCTAATGGCAGATCTATTGCCCTATGTCATATTGCCCCTCAAACTTACCCAGATTTCAGCTCTATGTTATTTCTATTAAGTATCTTTTCTATTAAGTATCTATTATATGCTACTGTTAGAGGAAGTCATGAAACCTTTTGGTTTCAGTACATGGTAAATTTATGTTATCAAATATTAGGAAAATCATCAATTCAGTGAAGCAATCCTTTTACTCTTCCATAAATTACCATCACATTATATTCCCCACAGCAGCTGGCAAAAACCATAGCTGCTCTCTTCAAGTCCCCCCATAGCACCCCAATCTCCCTTCCTTCTCAGAAGGGTATCTGCTTCATATGGTGTTGTTTTTGTTCATCTTTCATTCTTAAAGAGGACCTAATGACATCATGGGATGTTGTCATGGCTTGTGTATGAACTGGATGTAAATGAGGCAGAACTGCACAAAGTTACTTTGGTGTCTTCAATGTTTAACCAAACTCTAAGCACTCCACAACTCCTGCTTCAGCTGCCTTCATGGCATTTGGAACAAATTGTTCTCATCTACCCATTTCACCTGAGGGGATGTCTTCACATGCTTGGGGTAGACATCCCTCCCTGACTCAACAATGGGTTTAAGCCCTTTCAGTTACCCTCAATCTGGTTTAGTCTTTCTCTTGAGATGGTTTTACCAGTGTGTGGCTGCTGCACATGCTACAGCTTCTTGGAGCCACAGGTGAGAGTTGGGTGACAGGTGGACACCAAAGGTGGATGAGCAGCCCTGAAAGGGGCTTGGGAAGCCCTAACACTGTAAGTGCTAGTTCATATATTACTGAGAAAATGAGGGCCACTACGTATGAACTCCCTCTTCTTGCCTATGCCACATCTCAAAACACACTAACAACTCCCATTCTCTCACCCTTTATTCCAGTTTCTAAACAATAGTTAGTTGCCAAATCCAGTTGTTCTCTGCACATCCTTTTTACTGGGTGATGTGGCTTACTCTTCAAAGACTCAATAATCCTGGATTTACTTCTGACAATACACAGTTGCTAGTTTATGATACTAAGGTGTCTTTGTTCCTTCATGCCAAGTAAGCATATTTGAACATTGGTTTTACAAATGAAAATGTAATGAACCTTTAATTAAAAAGATGTAAATTGGGGGGAAAGTATTAAATTGTCACTTTTTTCCCCCTAAGAAATCTTAAGGGTGAAATTATAAAAGAGGAAATAAACCATGAAGTGGGAAAAATGATCCCTCTAAACTCACATGCTGCTCAGAGTTTCTGTGACTGCCAAGAAATTACACACGAGAGATGATGTAAATACATTGTTTTCTGTTGAAAATCAGTCTCTGATACACACTAGATTTGTTTTTATTAGCTTGCTATACTCCCTCCAACCACTCCCTAGTTATTTCTCTAAATTGCTGATTGTACACTATGGTATAATTCATAATTCTAAATCATAATTACTTGGACACATTTGAGTCTTAGCTGAATTTTCACCAACTCCAATTACAACTTTTGCATTTGAGAGAAAAAGAATTTTGAAACAGAACAGTAGCTCGTCATGAATTCTGACATAATTAAGAATCTTTATCTTACTCATGTAACAATAGCTTAAATTATTTAAATGAGGCTTTTGTGAATTAAGAAAGAAACTAATATTCGTTTCAGCAGATGGAATAGTGTATGCATTAGTGCTGAAGACTATAGTTTGGAAGTTTTAATAACTGCCATTTACATAGTACCCTAAAGTCTGAGAATTGACTTAAATATATATATGGACATACACACACACACACACACACACACAAATATACATACATTTCTAATTCCAGTCTCTCGACAAACTCATGGGTTGGGTGCTATAGATATTATTGCCTCCAATTTGAGGATGTGGAGACAATGTCAGAGAGGTTAAGTGACTTGCCAGTGGTTTTATGCTTAATAAGTCAGACACAAGATTTGAATGTAGGTTTCTGCAGTGACTCCAAATACAACACTATCCACTATCGTGCATTGCCTGCTAGGTTTTTTTATTATTTAGACAATACTGTTACCTGAAGCTGTAGGGTTATATCCATTTGAAATTTCAATGTGTCGGAGAATGACACTTAGAGAAAGTACAATTTAAGAAAAGAAGAAATAAAATTGAATTGAATCTTCACTGTATAGTATTTCATCATTCCCCAGAAGCTTTTTCACCATAAATATTTTTCCTTACCTCTGACCATTTTATCCAAAGGATTGGGCCTTCAGACTTTTCCTTTGATTGATAAGTTAATCTAGGAACTTAGGGAAAGTACCTAGGCCAGATGTGTTCATTCATTCGTTCATTACTCCCTTGTATCCATTCCTCTTTTCTAAACTTCTCTATCAAGTTTCTGGACAGTTACCTTTTTTCTATTCCCTTCCTTGTCAACTCTGCTTTATGTGTTGTATACCTCATTAAAAAGTAAGCACCTTACGGGTAGGAACTAGCTTTCTTGTTGCTTGCATTGGTATTCCTAGTTCTTAGTATAGTGCTCAGAACAAAATAAGTAGTTAATTAGTTCTTGTTGATAACCTATAAGCCTTGAGAAGGATACTTGACAATGTTTTGGTAAATTTCTGCCTTGTATTTTCCTCTCCAAATTTTGGTCAATTAAAAAATCAATCGCATGCATATCTTTCAATTTTATTTAGCTGCTTATTAAAATGCTATTTTTGTTCATTTCTCTTTGAGAGGTTGCATATATTCCTTCTTTCATTCTAACTTTATTGATTTTTGCAAATGTATTTTTCAGATAAAGAAAATTGTCAATTCCAATATCACCATGACATTTTGTTTCATCAAACACAGTTTAATGGGAAACAGTGAAAACCTTTTCAAGATTAACCAGTGGGAGAGAGTGGGGGGCAGACTCAAGATGGCAGAGTGAAAGCAGTGACTTGCTTGAGCTCTCCCCCAACCACCTCCAAATACCTATAAAAATGGCTCTAAACAAATTCTAAAGCAGCAGAGCTCACAAAAAGACAGAGTGAAACAAATTTCCAGCCCAAGAAAACCTGGATGGTTGATTGGAAAGGTATGTCATGCCAGGCTGTCAGAGGAGCACAGTTTGTCGTGGGCACCCAGGTAAGGCAGGCCTCGGTGAACCTGGAGCAGGCCTCAGAGGACTGAATCACAGGCAGCTGTGGCATTTTCCAGACTTCTCAACCCATGAACACCAAAGATGACTCAGAAGGTCAGTAGGAAAAGTCTGTGTCTGAGGTGAGAGAGAAGCTTGGTGCGGTCCTAGCCCCAATCCCTGGGTTTGTCCCTGGAGCAGTGGCTGCTTCCAGAGTTTCCAGCCCACAAACTGATGGGGAATGGAGTGGCTGATCAGAGGGGAATTGCAGGGATCTCTTTGCCAGTGCTGAGGCAGGAATCTCTTGCTTTGCTGGTGCTTGGATCTGGGTCACAGTTCTGGGTGGTAGTCCTGGGGTGAGGAGGAGCGCTGATGTGGTACAGCCTGTACTGGTGATGAAGAGAAAATCCTCCTCACTGTTCCAAGACAGAAAAGAGTGCTTGTGATCACTCATAGACCAGAGCACAGGCCAGAAAAGGAATAAACACCTCAACCCTTATCACAGCACCTTGGAAGAACCGAAAATTTACAAGTCCCTAGAAGTATCTCTGAAAACAGCTGCACAAAATCCCCAAAGTGTGGGGCAGTACATTCTCAACACTGGAAGCAGATCCCTACCTTAATAAAGACTTTAAAACTCAAGTGATTGGCTGGGATCATGACCAAGCCTCACAAAAGAAGTCAGACCATAGAATCTTTCTTTCGTAACAAAGAAGATCAAAACATATAACAAGAGGACAACAAAGTCAAAGCTCCTACATCCAAAGCCTCCAAGAAAAATATGAATCAGTACCAGGTCATGGAAGAACTCAAAAAGGATTCTGAGAAACAAGTAAGAGAAATAGAGGAAAAACTGGGGAAAGAAATGATGCAAGAGGTAAGAAAATCATGAAAAACAAATCAACAGCTTGTTAAAGGAGACTCAATAAAATATTGAAGAAAATAACAACTCAAGAAATAGCCCAACCCAAATAGCAAAAGAAGTTCAAAAAACCAATGAGGAGAAGAATGCCATCAAAAGCAAATTAGTCAAATGGAAAAGGAAGTTCAAAAGTACTGAAGAAAATACTTCCTTAAAAATTAGAATAGAGCAATTGAAAGCTAGTGATTTTATGAGAAATCAAGACACTGTAAAACAAATCCAAAAGAATAAAAAAATAGAAAACAATGTGAAATATCTTATTGGAAAAATGACTGATCTGAAAAATAGATCCAGGAGAGAGAATTTAAAAATAATTGAACTATCTGAAAGCCATGATCAAAAAAGAGCCTAGACATCATCTTTCAACAAATTATCAAAGAAAACTGCCCTGATATTTTAGAGCCAGAGGGTAAAATAGAAATGGAAAGAATCCACTGATTGCCTCCTGAAAGAGATCCCCAAAGGAAAATGCCTAGGAATATTGTAGCTGAATTCCAGAGTTCCCAGGTCAAGGAGAAAATATTGCAAGCAGTCAGAAAGAAACATTCAAGTATTATGGAAACACAGTCAGGATAAACCAAGATTTAGCAGTTTGTATATTAAGGGACCACATGGCATGAAATATAATATTCCTGAGGTCAAAGGAGATAGGATTACAACCAAGAATCACCCACCCAGCAAAACTGAGCATAATCCTTCAGCGGAAAAATGTATATTCACTGAAATAGAGGACTTTCAAGCATTCAAATTTGGCTTTCAAATACAAGACTCAAGAGAAACATAAAGAGGTAAACAAAGAGAAATCATAAGAGACTTATTAAGCTTTAACTGTTTACATTCCTGCATGGAAAGATATCATTTGTAACTCATGAGACCTTTGTCAGTATTAGGGTAGTTGGAGGGGAAAAAAATTATGTATGTATGTAGATAGATAGATAGATAGATAGATAGATAGATAGATAGATAGATAGAGGGGACAGGGAGGGTTGAAGATGAAGAGTTGATATCTGGAGAATAAAATTAAGGGATGAAAGAGGATTATACTCAGAGGAGAAAGGAAGAGATAGAATGGGGTAAATTATCTCACATAAAACAGACAAGAAAAGCCTTTTACAGTGGAGGTGAAGTGGGGGAAGGTGAGAGGGAATGAGTGAATCTTATTCTCATAGGATTTGGCTTAAGGAGGGAATAACATACACACTCAATTGGGTATGGAAATCTGTCTTACCCTACAGGAAAACAGGGAAAGAAGGAGGCAAGAGAGCAAGGAAATGATAGAGGGGAGGGCAGGTTTGGAAAGAGGGTAATCAGAAGCAAACACTTCTGAGGAGGGACACGGTCAAAAGAGAATAGAATAAATGGGGGGCAGGATAGGATTAAGGGAAATATAGTTAGCTTTTCACAACATGACTACTGTGGATGTAGTTTTGCATAACTACACATGTATAACCTGAGGGAAAAAAAGGAGAGAACTTCAAGGATGAGGAAGTCAATAGCTTTAAATGATGAATTAAAGTTAAAGGAAATAACAGAGGAAAAAAAAGATTAGTGATTAGCTTGCCAGATTTTTCTTTTCTGGAATCAATCCTTTCTTTTTTAAGTAAGTGATTTTTGTTTTGTTTTGTTTTTCTCTCTGATGTCCCATTTACAAATAAACAGTGATATGTTATATCCCAAAATATAAGCCTAGGTAAAGAAAAATTAGTCTCAGTTTCACTTCCCATAGATATGCCAGGAAAAGTTTCTATTCTTAACATTTCTCAAGATACAGTTCAGGTTTTGGACATATTTTGTTTCCCTCTTGCAGGATGGTACATCCTTTAAGTCTAAAGAGCTATGATTTTTAGATTTTTTAAAACATTTATTAAGACCCTGGTATGTGCCAGACACTATGCTAATTGCTTTGCAGATATTACCTCATTTTATTCTCATAACAATTCAGGGAGATAGGTGCTTTTATTATCCTTAGTTTCCAGAAGAGGGAATTGAGATAAACAGAGGTTAAATGACCTGCTCAGGTTCACACAGTTATTAAGAGTCAGAGTCCAGATTTTTAACCTAGGTTTTCCTGAATCCAAGTTGCTGAATCCATTGTACTATTTAGGTCCTTATAGAGAAGTTAAGATCATGAAAAAAAAAATCACTTATGTTTGCTTGAGCTATAAAATGAAAATCTTAGGGGAGAAAGATTACTTCAAATGGTGGAAATCAATGGTCTCATAATAACAATTGAAATCATCAGGTTCATCTTTCAAATTCCAAGTTTCTAGTGGTTTTAGTACACATAATTCGTCATTATATGAAACAAGTCTTATAACAAATAGAAGATTTAGATCCTGTACAGTATATTTAGACTTAGAGATGTCTAATGCCTGAGGGGTCCAAATCTTAACCAGCTTACCTATTTTAAAACAAAAATAGAGTTCCCTTGATTTCTTAATGTGATGACTAGAGCCTTGTTTCTGGGCATTAAAACTCTGCTCCCCATATTCAAAATAAAGCTAATTTGGATTATTAATAAAAAATAAAGATAATTTGGATTATTGATAAACTTAAGAGGCATGCTAAGAATTTAAGTAAGGCATGCTAACATTGACAAAGTACCACACAAAAAAAAACTTAAGAAAACAGGATTAGAGACAATAAAGGTTTTTATCAAATGACAGAACAGTCTGATACCTACAGAAATCTTTACTGTATGACTGAACAGGTAAAAACTTCTTGTAGCCTGTCCTGGGATAGCACACATAAACTGGCACTTCACGTGTCATGTAAGAACAATCTAACCTGCAATTTATGACTACTTCTGCTCTATTACCTCGACTCCTACCAAAGCACACTTTATTACTGCATTATACTACATAATTTATACCAACACTTAAGTGACACTCTTTAACAGAATTGTACATTTTGAATAAGGTATCAAAAGTACATATGACAAATTTAAAAATTTCCATGTGACAAATTGTATATTGAGCAGTGTAATAATTAGATGATTGGATAATAGGACTCCTGAGGGAATGGTAGGGGAACTGGAATCATTTGATATATATCTAAAGTGGTTGAAGTATAGGCCATATTGAAAAATGGAATTTAAGCCTTTGAAGAAATTTCATAGATACTGAATTGTGTATCATGCTCTTATACCATTGTGTCTTAATCCTTGTTGCTGCGAAGTATGGACTTCTAGTGACTTCCTTACCTTTTAAAATAACTTCAGAAATTGATTTAAAATGTTTCTCTTTATCTCAGCCCCTGCAATCATCCTTGATGTCTTTCCCATACTCATTACTCACCCTTTTAGCATTCCTGTTTCTGAGCTCACTGCAATCATGATGTGAAGTTACTATTCTTCTAAGATTCTAAGCTCTGAAATTCTTTCCCATCACACTTTTCTCAACTTTTCTCAAACTTTGCTTCCCCTGAAATTGCTTGTTTTCTCTTCCCTTCTCTTCCATTTCCTGAAACTGAGGCAAAGAGTGATAAGTGACTTACCTGATCACACAGCTAATAAAAGTATTGGAGGCCATGTCTCAACTCACAAAGATGAGTCTTCCTGACTTCAGGTCCAGCAATCTATCCACCACCACCTAGCTGCTTCTTCTGATAGGTAGTGTAAATGCTCACACTGAAAATTTGACAACACCTCTCCAGAACAGATACCAGCTAACTCAGGTATGCCCCGGTTGTATTTCACATTAGGGAAACTGTGGATACTTTAGGTATTATTAATGATGTTATTGTTATCAAGGAAATGTGGTATACTTGAGGAAAGTGAGTGAAGATCAAAGACCACTTGTTTTTGTGTGAAAGGAGTTATTTTGAATCACAAATTTTGGGTTATTCAGGGTAATTGTTGAGGGTGTTGTGGTACCTGTGGATGAAGGATAATGATAAGATCATAGATTTG